TTTTGTTATTGTTCGATGCGGGATGAGACGGTGTGAAATGTTAATTTTCGGAGCCTAAATGCGATTTGGTTTATTTTTTATATATAGCCAAAAAAATCTTCAAAAATATATTGTTCATCACTGATTACGGAAACACAATATGATAATAATATAAATAAATTTACTGTTTACTAGTTAAAAAATTTAAAAGAATAAATCAGTTCATTATTTTAATAAAAGTTCTTCTGATCGAAATTTTCAATCTTATCCTATTATGCAAATACTTCATTAGTTTTTGTTTTTGGGTCAGATCAACTCATTAGTTTTCTGAATCTATAGTGCACAAAAGCCAAAAGGTCTTCAAATTTTGAATGGTAAAAAAGTGTTTATGATGTCGACAATAATGGGAGTCGTTACCCGTTAATATATATACATTTCGATTAGGGGTTCACTAAAAATCATTTTTGATGTGTTCTGGGTTTTATATTAAAAATTTTGACCCTACATTTCACTTGACAACCTAAGATTCAAATCATTAGTCTTCTTTTTTGCTGTTGTTCATCGTTGGAAAAGATTGACTTTTTTTTTTTTTTCATTCTTTTGGGGTCCTTTTGAATAACAAAAGGTTGAATCTTTTTGCCCGTTAAATAAATAAATCACTTAAAAAAAACAAAAACCAGAATTCAAAAGCCCAATAAAGCCTTTTTCACAATTTGGGCTTTTGAATTCTGATTTTGATTTCAATTTCTGTAAAGTGGAAGCCTTTCTTCGTTTTGAGGGTTCTCTCTTCTCTGCTTTGGGAGGGTTTTTGGTAGAATTTGTCGAGAGAGATGGGTCAAGCTCAGAGTGACGAGAACTCTTCTGAAATTCCGACGACGACGACGAAGAATCCTCCTCCTTCTACGAATTCGCCACCGGATTCCGATGGAAATGATACTTCGTCATCTCCGATGAGTTCTCTCCTTGCAGGTTCGGTGTTCTGTATCTCGATCGAGATGTGCTATATTAGTTGCATACGCAAGTTTTTTGTGAAATTGGGATTTTTGCGGTCTATGCTTGATTGGTGATATGATTTATCTTAGCATTGAATTTGTCTTTCTCCTCCACCATAGTTGTTGCGTATAGGAAGATTCTTGAATCGTTGTTTATGTAGTTCTATGTAAATACCAGTTATAAGCTATTTAGTTTACATCTTCTAGTCCAGTTTCTGGCTCAAAGAAATCTTTTTGATTCTTTCATTGTATTCTCAAGATTCATTTCCAACTGTCTCGGTGTTTTACAACAGTCTTTTGTGACATTCTTGAATATCACAGAAGCTGCAGCATATGGTGAGGGAGACGATGAGAATGAGGTTATTTCTCTCGCTTTTTCTTATTCGGTTATTCGCGAGGTTTTTTACATTACTTATCTGACAAACCACCAATTCCATCAGTCGCTTGAAGCAAAGGCGCAGAAAGCCCTCGATTGCCCTTGCATTGCAGATTTGCGTAATGGATCTTGCGGGTCTCAGTTCTCCGAAGCATTCCGTTGCTTTCTTATGAGCACTGCAGAAGAAAAGGTAACCCGTGGTAACTGAACATATTGCATTGTTTAGGATGATGTGAACCACAACCGAGATGCTGATAAACATCGACCGATAGTTAGTTGTCTTTTTCGTTTAGGAAACGCCAACTCTATGATGCTTGAAACATTGATGATAGTTTATCTCTTTTCGTTTTGGATATTTAAAACGTTTTTGTGTTTCTTTAGAAGTGAGCTTGACAAGGTTATTGGATGTGTTGTTTGTTGTTACAGGGAACAGATTGTGTGCATCCATTTGTAGCATTGCAAAGCTGTATCAAAGCCAATCCGGATGCATTCTCTAAAGAGGTTCTAGAGGACGGAGAAAAACCCGAGAAAAAAGAAGAGCAACCGCCTGCGCAAGACCATAGAATCATCCCGCCTCTCTGGGCGAAAGACCCTCCTCGCAGTGGCAAATCCAAGCTTTAGAAGATGAACAACAACAATGGAGAGTCTCAGCATCAAAAGCTATTCATTTCTCAACAAACAATGATGTAATCTACAATTCTCGACCTTGAGCTTTTTGGATTCTTTGGTCGTGTAACACAAAGATCGCATTACCTTTTTTCATCAGAATTGAGAATTTTTTAGTTCGGTAACTGCATAAACTAATAAAATGTTGGAACATCGACCATGATTTCTTTCTATAAATGTTGACTTGTTATGAGCTCAAACGAATCGCTTATTTGGAAGCTTAACCGACCGGTTTAATTTACAGAGTTAGGTTTAGTTCGGTTCCATAGACCATAATAATATAAAAAATTGGTTTGATTAAAACATTAATTAGAAGTTAATAAAGGCTTCTCGTTATTAAAAATCGCAGCTATGTTCTTCTCTCAATAAATACTGCGGAAGCGTGAATGGATAATGGAGATCTCTCTCAATAGTTGCGAATCTGCGAAGCTTGCACGAGAAGAAATGAAAATGGAGGAAGCGAGGAATCTCATCTGAGAAAGCATTCTAGGGTTACGAAACCATTTCTGATCTGATTAATTGTTGTGAGATTTTCGATGGAAGAAGAC